GCGATATCTAAACAACCAACTAAGAGTGAAGCGTAATGAATTAAATAGTAATATAAATCTAAAAACATCGATCTTTAGATACGGCATTCAAACCAGCGGAGTTGTTAAGCTTAAAAATCTCCAAACCACTGCCTAAGAATCACTTTTCTCCCTTGACTCTCCTAACAACGAAAATAAAATACAAGAGTAAAGACGTACATAACCTGGAAACAAACTACAGTGTTAACTGTTACTACACTAATGCAACATCCCTTGATAACAAAATGAACGATTTAATTGCAATAGCTAGAACCTTTGACTATAATATTATTGCTGCCTCCGAAACATAGTTTCGAAATGACTCAGTTTCTAACATCGATGGGTATAACTTATATTAAAAAGATCGTCGTTACGGACGTCGAGGTGGCGGTGTAGCTACCTACATTACTGACTTATTTAACTCTCACGAAATTAATCAGTTTTATATAAACCCTGTAGATCAAGTTTGGGCATAATTAAAAGTTAATAAAAAATGCATACTTATTGGGTGTAAATATAGATCTAATGATGCTAATCTAATAAACTACGTCGATGAATCTTTCAAATTAGCTCATAACTAAATTAGGAAGCCCTGTGATGACTGTTTGGCGATCGTTGGTGATTTTAATTTTCCGAATATAAAGTGATCTAATAATGGTATTAAACCTTTTAATCCAAGTAATGTATGAGTTTTATAATAATGTACATCACGTTCCCTACTTTCCAGGCATCCTATTGTTGGACTTATTATTTACCTACAAAAATAATTTGATTTTAAATTTATCTCCTAATGCTATACTAGGTAATAACACTAAGGGTCACTTTAGTATTACCTGGACAATCTTAGTTTCAGAACCGCTACCCGAAAAAGAATCTTAATTGTTTAGTTACAACAAAGCTGATTATAATTCAATATGAAACCTTATTGCATCAATCCATTGGATATCAATTTCTTATTATCGTACTGTTTGCGAATTTTTTATCCCCAAGATTAAAAAAACAAAAAAAATGTATGATCCTTGGGTTACTCTACATATTAAAAACATTCGGAGCAAAAAAATCGGTTTGGCACATCAACTGCTCAACTAAATGGAAGAATAAAGATCTCAAAACAAATTACAATTGCATTAATCGTTCCGTTAAAGCGGAAATATTTAAAGCGAAAATATTACATGAAAAAAAAAAATATATCAAAATCTCAGAACAACCCAAAACTCGTCTACAAATACATTAACAACCAAATAAAAATTCGTTCTCTCAAAAATGCCTCAGGAAAAATTACTGAAATTCTTCCCGATGTACTTGAACTTCTGAACTCTTAAATCAAATCTATGTTTACTCTTGAAAGCTCTGAAAATTTTCCATTGTTAAATTAAAGTGAAGTTAAACCTAAATGCAATTATAAAAACAACTTGGATATCTCTATTGCAGACATTATTAATGAACTTACCAATCTAAACATTTAAAAATCTTTTGGACCTGACAGGATGCACCCTTTAATACTTAAGATATGTGCCAAAAGCTTTGCAATTCCGCTTAGGGAGACAAACGGGAGACAAATGGAGACAAACTACTTCCTGAAAACTATCGCTATTTTTAACCTCTGTTGCGTGCAAAATATTTTAAAAAAGTTGTAAAGAATAAAATTTTAAAGCACATCAACGATAAAAATTTGCTTTCTACAAATCAACATGGCTTCCTTCATCATAAGTCTTGTGTAACCAATCTAATAGAGACTTTTAATATTATTTTGTCTTCCCTAGCATCGCACCAGTTTATAGATGTAATCTACTTTGACTTTGCTAAAGCTTTTGATTTCGTACCTCACACCAGACTCATGTTATTGACTCGAAATCATTCGGAATAAACGGTAAACTACTATAATGAATGAATTCCTTCTTATTAGGCAGAAAACAACGCGTAACAATACTAGCTCTGGCTGAGTTGATGTTTTTAGTGGTTTTCCTTAAGGTTCTGTTCTCGGCCCGCTCCTCTTTATTCTTTTTACAAATGATCTTGCTCAACTTACAGATATTTCTGAAGTATTTGCCGACAATACTAAACTTTTTTCTAAAATTTTATCGCAGACTAATTTCATTGATCTGCAGGACCGTCTACGCTAAGTATACGAGTAGTCAAACACTTGTTAACTTAAATTAAACATTTCAAAGTGCTGTGTTATCCATTGCGGTAAAACCAATCCTATGTATAGTTACTTTTTTCAAAATAAACAAGGTATAAACGAAAACCTAAAAACTCTACTAAAAAGCGCGATTTAGGATTAACATTTTTACATCTAACCTCAAGTGGAACACACATATTTAATCAGTTGTCTCCAAATCTTTACAAATTCTTGGTATGCTTAAAAGAACATTCACCATCGTTGATAAAAATGGCTCTCAAATTATGTAAAGTATTTATAAGACCACACCTTGAATATGCAGTGTCTGTTTGGGCCGCGTATTTAAAAACTAACTAAACTATATATGGTTAGTATATTTTACGGCTACAGCTATAATAATAATAAATATATATATATATATATATATATATATTTATATATATACATATATATTTTATATATATATTTTATATATATATATATACATATATATATATATATATATATCTTTATATATATATATACAGATATATATATATATATATATATATATATATATATATATATATATATATATATATATATATATATATATATATATATATATATATATATATATATATACATATATATATATATGTATATATATTAGAAATAAACGATTGTGCCCTTTCACTTAAAAACCCGTGCCGTCGGCCATGATATATAGATAAATATATTTATAGATATAGATATATATGCACAAAAATATAAACTAATAACACTTTATGCTGAGATATAACAGATGCTTTAATTTTTGTTTTTGCTTTTATATTATCTGAATAAAAACAATTAAACATAAAAAACAAACAAAAAAAGAGTAGAATTTTCAGTTATATTTTTTTGAGCACAATTCCCAATTTAATACCTTTTCATTATTAATTTTTCATTAAACAAATAAATAAGGTGGTATTATAAAACAGGTGTATGTTTAATCAATATTATTTCTTATTCATTAAACAATTTAATAGAGTATATTGTTTTTAATTTTTTATGTATATAACAGATGTTTTAATTTGGTTAATGTTTAACAAAGAAAATTATTGTTAAGCAAAAAGAAAATGCTTAAAACTACTTGTTTATAAATATAATAATTTAATACTTTTAAACGAATTTTTTCATTATAATACCATACTATAACAATTGTAATAGTTTTACATTTATGTTTCCCTGTTTTAAATGTTTTAAGCATTTTGATTCTCAATTTATAATATTGTCAATTTTTCAACATTATCTTGATTGCTTTATATATATTTATAAATGTAATTATATATATATATATATATATATATATATATATATATATATATATATATATATATATATATATATATATATATATATATATATATATATATATGTATATATATACATGTATACATATACATAAATATATATATATATATATATATATATATATATATATATCTATATATATACACATATATATATATATATACATATATATATATATATATATATATATATATATATATATATATATATATATATATATATATATATATATATATATATATATGTATATATGTATATATGTATATATATATATATATATATATATATATATATATATATAATATATATATATATATATATGTATATATATATGTATATATATATGTATATATGTATATATATATATATATCTATATATATATATATATATATATATATATATATATATCTATATATATATATATATATATATATATATATATATATATATATATATATATATATATAGATATATATACAGTCAACAGCGAGCAGGGAAAACACCCTACTATAACAACAACAAGTTTTATAAATATTCGTTCTGAATATTATTCTGAATATTATTTTAATTTTAAAAAAATTAATTAATTATTGTTCTGTTTATTTTAATAAAAAAAGTTTCATAAAACGTAAACGTAATTGTAGCTCTGACAAAATAAAATAAATGCTTAAAAAACGTATTTTATTGTTATTACCAGGAAAACGTGGACGCAAAGTATAATACTAGGGAGTTGTAACAACGCAGTATCTGATTACGGCAGAATTGATAAAAAAAGAACTTCTCAAAAAAATAAAATATATTTCTTATAGTAAATATTAAAATATTCAAAATAGATGTGATTTTAACTTTTTTTTAACTATTTTTTATTAAACTCATCAGAATTTTATGTAACTTACACATTTTTAAACTACGTCCTAAAATATTAACGTAACCTTACACCTGATGTAAAATTAATAAACTGAAGTTATATAAATATATGCGGACAGGAATGTGTATATAGTAAATATCATTATTAGAAAAATAAAATTATATCCCAATCAGAATTTTTTGAGGAAAATTTTAATATATTGTAGAAACACGTCATCTTGAATTTTTTTTTGGACTATTTGTCATTTGTATTCAGTAAACTCTGTATACATCAATTACAAATTAATCTGATTTTTCATAGTCACAATATAGGAAATTATGAAAAAAATACTTAAGTAACAATATTAACAACGTCATTATTTAAATTATTTTTTTTATGCAAAGTCTGATATTTTTAAAAATAGAAATGACAAATAAATTAAGGTATTGCAATTACTTTTATCTTTTATTCAAAAAACTTGTTGGCAAACAACAATTTTTTTGTCTATATTGAAAATCTGTTTAGTGTATCACAAATTATTTTGTTTCAATGCTTGTTGCCAGACATTTTTAGTCGAGTAAACAATTAAAGCAAAATATCAAATAACCAATAGAAAATTATGCAAGAAACAATAAGAAGAACCAATAGAAATAAATTGAAATAAAATAATGAAATCAATTCGTTATCAATTGGACTATACACTGAAAAAATCACTCTACCCTGGAAAGAGGATAGTTGAAAGCAAAGAAGATAGTTGAAAGCAATAAGAATAGTTGAAAAAATGACTCTATCTTTTTCTTGCTTAGTTTTACTTTTAGCCAGTTATAATATAAAAGTTATTTTGGGTTGTATGTGTATGCCAGTTCATCCACAAAGCGCTTTGTGTAAAGCAGAGTACAGTAAGTTATTTACAAGTATCTTGTTAATTAAACAAATAATTTTAAATTTATTTCTTATTCTATTTTATTTATCCTGTTTATTTATTGAATTTTTGACGAAACTAATGACGTACTAGCAGTTGCATTTAATTTTTAAAATTTCTTGTGATAAACTATATTCAACTTCATACTTAAATAAAGTCTAATTTACTATCATTTGTAAATGTGGGCCATGTTTGGTTGAGGTGTTTTTAATATTTAGGTGTTTACGGGTTTTATAGCCACATGTGGCCCGTATGTGGCTATTAACTAATTGGTAAAAATGTTGCACCCACACGTTTCAAATTTACGTCATTTCCTAAATCGAATGTGGATATAAATAAATATTTTCATCGCAAACGATTTTTTATCATTCTTAATAATTCGAAATTACCAAATCATATGAATATCAAGTTTTTTAATTAGCTTTAACAGTACCAATCAGTGTGACTTCAATGAAGCAAATTTTGATACTGGGTGTTTGAAAAAAAACTTGTTTTTTTTCAAACAACCTGTATTGACCATTCTTCACACCCTGTATTGAAAATTCTTCACATACGTACTTATTATGTAAGTATGTCTATTATTATTATTCTCAATTGACACTTTGTTATTACTATTATTTTTAAGCAGCTGTGGCGCTTAATTTCTGATATTAGTGGGAAACTAATATCAGAAATTAAGCAATTTTTATATCATTGAATTAAGCAAGGCATTCAGTGTACACGAAAAGATGAAATTCCGTTAGAAAATATGTTTTCTCTATAAGTTTTGAGGATACTTTTAAATTTAATAAAAGAAAAATTTAATAATATCATTCAAAAATTTGTATCGCAAATTTTTATTTTTATATATAAAACCATAATTAAAGACATGTAAAGCTTAAGGTTACTTTTATCCAATTTCTTCTTTTAAAGTTAACAATAAAAAAAAGTTTCGCAAGATCTCACAATTTTTCCTAATTTATTAAATTAATAGTTATTAGTTTGATATTTTTCTCTATACGCTCATCAAAAGCAAAATAAAAATTTCACCTGCACAAAATTTTGTATAACTCGCGTTTGAAACTTCGAACGATTGTTGAAAAAATAATATAAAAGTTTTTTTCTAACGTATCAACATCACTTAAAAACCATTATTCTTAATATCCAATAGAAAAATGTATCGAATTAGTTTTCTTTGGCTTGAAAATAATAAAATTTAAATATAAAATATTTTTTAGATGGATAGTCAATCTTAACGCGCGAATAAACGTTGCGTTATATGTGAGTTCTTTGACCCAAAAAAACATATTATTTAAACATATAACATGTTTCTTTACAATGTTTGTAAAAATCTGTTGAGTTTTTTGCCAATTTTTATATGATATAATTATACTGAATATACTTTAATAAAAATTGAAATTCTTAAATTCCAAAGGTTAAATTAAATACAAACAGCAACAAGAACAAATATTCAGTATTTGGGAATTTGTGGTTTTTATTTCTACTAAAAAAAACTAAGTTTACTTGATAATATATTTAAAGACTACTACATTTGCTTGTATATATAATTTTATAATCAAAGTATTATTTGATTTGTTTTTAACAACCATTTTTATATTTTTAATAATTTCTCAAGTACTTGTGTCCAATTTTTAATTGTTTATTTTTAATAATTTGATTTTATAGGGTAAAATTATTGATAACCTTTTGTTTTTTTAGTTATTAAGGCCAGGGTTCTTTCGAACAAAATTATAAAGGTCAATAATACAGATGAAAACTTTCTAAACTTGGGCATTCCTTTGCCTCATCATACTGTTTATAAGATTCTGATTAACTCTGTGTTGAAAAATGCAAATCCGTCTTATCGATTTAATTTGCAACAAATTCATTCGCTTCATATACCTGCAGCAGAAAGCAATTGTGGAATTCAACTTGAGATTGGAAAACTTTATTTGCTGACTGGAAAATTTGAACATTCTAAACTTCAAATGACCAATTGTGATTTTCATTTGAAATGGCACCAGTTAACTATTGATATGATTGATGGCATTAACGGAAAGTATGATTGCAGTTGCCAGATTGCAACGTGTATGGATGGCTATTGCGATAATAAAAATGCTTGCAAATGGAACCTCTCTTGGGACAAATCTTTTGAAGATTGTGCGTATAAACATTTAAACTGTGAAAGGTCTAATAGAAAGGTTTGTCAATGGAATCAAAAATCGTCTTATAAACAATGTCTTTTAGCCGAAAAACTATTCAACGATGTTTAGAAACTTACAAAGAAAAAGTGTGTACAACTAGGATACGTCCTAGAAAAAAATGTTTAAGTTATTATTAATACTATTCAAAATTACTGATGGCTGACGTAAAGCAGAGTAAAAATTATATAAAATTAAAAAAATTTTATTTTAAAAAAAAGTGGTTGCAGAAAAAGAAAAAAGTAAATATAAGCTCTTTTTCTTTTCTTTATATGTTTAATTTATTATTTTTTTATGTTTAAGTAATTTTCTTTTCTTTATATGTTTAATTTATTATTTTTTTATGTTTAAGTAATTTTCTTTTCTTTATATGTTTAATTTATTATTTTTTTATGTTTAAGTAATCGATGAGCCAACCCCAATGAACCCCTCAAAATGCCTATATAGGCCCATTACAAAAATGTTAGCTGGGTGCAACCATAAAACTTTTTTTTAATTAATTTATATGTTAATTTAAATACACAAAGCGTTTCTTTTTTATAGAAGTTGTTTATAGCCTTGAAGCTTTTTTATAAAAGTGAATTTTTTTTATTGTTATTAATAATAAAAATTATTATTAATAAACAAGTTTCATTTATGTAGAAAATAAAAAAAATTAGCTAATAACCATGCATACTAAATGTTAGCATTTTTTAATTAAAAAATCTTTATGCTATATTCAACTTTTCAGTAGCCGTTGGTGTTTTTTAACAGTACGCAGTCCCAAGCCCTAATTTATGCGTTTAAAAGGCCTGTTTGCACAGTCGGTTATATTTTTTTCATCATTAAGTTTTTACTTTTCGAAACTGACGTATATAGTGTCACTTCTATTTCCTAATGTATAGGTAATTTAGTATAAAGATTATAACTTTTCAACTTACATTATTAAATTTGTTTTGAAGCAAGCAGCCGCAACGAAGTGGTTATAGTTTTAGCTCAAAACCAAATGTCAGATTTTCAATGCCGGCTTAAGTCAAATGAACGGCAGTGGTAAGGAAGGTGACAATAATGATAATTCAAATAAATGAATTAAGCCTGCAAGTTTGCAACAAAAGGGGGGTCAACAGATTCTATCTTTTGACCAGCTTTGGACTTTTTTTCATTTATTAGGCTGTATGTTAAATGCTAGATCTTCTTGAATCATTGCATGGGTATTGATTGTGTCCCTGTCTTTATGTCTAGGCAACTATTACATCCCAATATTTGTGGTCTTTGAAAAACTTTTCTTCTGCTGAGTCTTATCTTTATTCTCTTATCTCAATTTATTTGTGGTCTTTGAAGAAAATTTTCTTCTGTTAAGTCTTATCTTGAAAAGTTCACCAGCTCTTTGTAAAACTAATTTAGCTCATCTTGTGATCTTAGTATTGATGGTTATCATACTTTAATTCTTAAAGATTCCAATAGTTACATGGTTGGCCTAAGCATTTTAATTCGTAAGAGTTCCCCCATTTCTTGGGAAACTAGATTTAAATGCACAGACTATTCTTTTATGGCTTTCGTTTAGCATCACTTCACTCTACCACTTTTCTTTTATCCCCTCTCAACAATTCCATGTCAAGTCTAACTTTTCTTCATTGTTTTCCTCTCATTGTGCTGCCAATCGGTAATCATTACTTTCATATCTATTGCCAAAACAAGTCTCCAGAAACCATTGTAAAAAGATTTTGTCTAAAGCCAAACCTCATTATTCTCAGATCACATTAGGCTTAAGTGATTTCTGGAGAATTTTTAACAGTGTTTATAATAAGAGCAAATCTGTTATTCTACCTTCTAAAGACAAAGCTGAACTGTTTGCTAAGAACTTTTCATCGATCTCTTCTCTTGATTCCACTAATCACATCCAATCTGGTACAGATTATAAACAAGTTGATCCATTGCTTGACATACGTATCATACCAGCTTCTGTATCTAAATTGATTTCTTGCTTAGAATATTCTACAGCTTGTGGTCCACCAACATAACTGTTTTAGTTTGGAAGAAGTGTTCTCCAGAGCTGTCATTTATACTTTTAAAACTATTTAACAACTACTTATGAGAGTCTTGTTTTCCAGCCTTCCGGAAAAAGGCATCTGATATCCTTATTTTTTAAAATTCTGTAGAGCGATCTGAATTGTCTCACTACCATCCCATTTGTCTTCTTCCTATCATAAGCAAAGTTATTAAGTTTTCAATTAACACACACTTGATTTCTAGTCTTGAGCCGAAGATCTTATTTTCTGACCATTACTATGGATTTTGATCTTTTTTTAATATGGGATGATATTTCATCCCACATCAGAAAGAAGTTAGATGTGGTGAGGCTAAGACTGTCGCTTTCTCAATAGCTCTTTTTTTAGGTTGTGTCAGGTGACATCTTTAAGATTATTAAATTTTTCCTTCCTAAATGTAGTATAAAATTTGTTCTCGATTGGCAGCATTTTTTTTATTTCCTGTAACTGCAGGAGTTTCTTAAGGTTCTATCCTAGCCTCTATACCTTTTATAGTTTACATTAATGACCTCCAAGAAATTCTCACATCTAAGGTGACATTTTTCGATGATAATACTACCATGCATTTTTGTCTTGATAAGAAGCCAGCACTCTCTGATTGCTTGGAGAGGACATTGGAGCTTAAAAAGAATATCACCTCTGTTTCAGCACGGGTCTCTCAGAGGCTGATGAATTTTCACTTAAACAAAGCTCAATTTGTTCAGCTAATTGTTATCACAACAATCTAGATCTTCCTATATTTAAGAACGGTAATATACTTAATGAACCATTTACCCTACATCTCTTAGGATTAAACTTTGCTTTTGATCTTTCATGGAAACCATATACCAAATCAATTGCAAAATTCGCGTTTTTTTATCGTGCTTTCCACTGCTCTTACTCTAGAATCTTTTATTTATCTTTACAAATTTTAAATCCGTCCTTGTACAGAATACTGTTGCAATATCTGGAGCTAATGTTTGAATGATGCATTTTTTCTTTTAGACAAGGTTCAAAAACGTATTGTAAACATAGCTGAATCTCCTCTTGCACCCAAACTTTAACCGTTGTCATATCGTCGTAATGTTGCTTCTTTTTTTTTTTTCTATAAATACGGGCGCTGTTCTAAAGAGCAAGCGTCTCTTGTGCTATCTACTAAAATTCGTTTTCGTGTTACTCGTCATTCAAATAAGTCTCATGTTTTTACTGTGAGTCTTTCTAAACGCTCCAAAATTTCTTATTTGTTCTGTTTTTTCCTATCAACATTAGTTCCCTCCCTATATCTTCTTTTCCTGATTCATATTATGTGCAATCTTTTAAGTCGTCTACTAATCGTTATCTTGCTTCATAAATTTTATCTTTTCACTTCCATTAATTTCGAACTCTAATAGTGGTTTTTTGTAGCCTTGTTTAAAGTAAAGAAATTTTTTCGGGTTGCAACATATAAAACTTGTTTAGTTATTTGATACAATTTAAAGATGTGGAAATTGATTTATAAATTAGAGTGGAGTAAAAAATATATAGTAAAGAAAGACATTATGTTGTTAAATTTAATTTTGTAAAATTAAACTAAACATAATGATTTGACATTACACAAGTTTCTTATAGCATAAATAGATTTCATTTTTGAAAACCGTTTTTTATTACAATTTTATTTTATAATATTGTTGTTTTAAAAAACTAATTATAATATAACAACAATTTTTATAATAAAATAATAATAACTATGATATGATAAATATAAATTATAATATTTTATTTATCTTTATAAAGTATATTAACTACTTTTAAAAAAAAAATTTCAGTACTTTTCCTTTGCTTGCAGGAGTAAAATATTAAAAAATATTTTTTTAGTAATTTCGAATTTTTCACTGAAAAACAATATAACTATTTTTATGACTAAATTATGTTAGTTATTATATAAATTGTTTTATTAAAATAATATATAAAATTTACCTTTTTTGATTGCAAAAAGTTTACGTTATGAAAAGTTTTTTAAAACCATAAGAGTATGATGATACATTTAAACACTCAACTTGTTTCCAATCCTTTCAACTTGTTTCAAGAATAATTTTCAATAGAACTTACAGGATTTCTAGCTTTTTTTTCAAATAAATTTGTGAGAAAAAGATTTAAAAGTATTAAAACTGAAAAAATAAAAAATATAAGGCTTACTAGATGCACCTTTGAATCTTTAATCCTTCTCTGTAGTATGCTGAAAGATTAATAACATAACTACATCGGAGGTGGCTAGTTCTTTTCCGTACTTAAAACGCATTGTTAAACGAGTAAGTGTTTTCTTATCTCGTAGATTTCTTCTAGATGTGAGTAGAGTTTAAGAGATATCCCTTACGGAAATATTCCATGGAAAACCCATGGAATTCCATAAGTAAACCATGGTTTTCCCATGGAAAACGGAAATTCCATGAGTGAATTTCATGAAAATTGAAATCCCATGGAATTTCCCTGAGTGAACCATGAAAATCCCATGGAATTTCAATGGGTGAACCATGTTTTTTTTTTCATATCTTATGCTGCGCCATGGTTGTTACGAATGCGCTTTTAAAGATGGCGTCATAGCTCGTGGAGTTACGATTACTTTTAAACTGAGTAAACAATACTTACTGCATTCTTCTGTTTTTCTGTGTTTAATAAGACTATAAATTATTATAAATTTAGTTTGAATCATATAAATTATTGTTATACGATTCAAACTAAACATACAGACATAAACAACTAGGTATATTTATCATATCATAATGCATTATAAAATGGATGATTTTTAATTATATTTAATTATATATCATTTATGCATATACGTATTTTAACTGTTTCCAGTAGCTTTGCTTACTTTGCATAACTTTCAATAGTATAGCAAGTATGTCAAGTAAACCAGTTTAAATTTTAATGCTTACTTGGCAAATTATTTGTCAAATAATTATTATTTAGTTTACAACAAATAAACGTTTAGTTTTAATCTACATTAAATAACTAGTGTATTAATGTACATAGTGTAATCTAATGTACATTAAAACTAATATAATAAATATTATTAAACTTATCTAACATATTAAACAAACATATCTAATATTATTATATAAGCAGTATATCAGATAAGATTAGATAACTAAGATTAGATAAGATAATTAGATT